TATTGCCACATGTTCCTAAAACCCTATTTTGTGGATTGCATTGGAATTACAGTGACATTCCAAAACAGTGTGTATGCGTATTTCATAAAGATTCTATATTTATGAAAAACTGCAAAGTGAAAGTGCCCCATTAGGAAGGTGCTATAGAGGATAACAAATAAAATGGTAGCTCCGACGCAATCTGCAGAAACTCTCCATGATTTCCTACAGTAATTGCTCATCATTTATCATGTCATCCCCATCATACATGAAGATATTCACTGACCAATAATAGGCTTTGCAAGTACATAAACAAAATATATCTGTTAATATGTTTCTATTAACTTTATGTTTGCATGTTTGTATGTTGGATTCTTTCTTCAAAGCAATCTTCTAATGCATAGCTCACACAGATTTTCTGCTCAGAATGTTAAACATTTCTCACTTGCCTTATTCTCTCTTTTAAATCCATCATTTCATACTGTTCTTTATCTCTGGAACTCTCTCCCACTCAATATGTGTCAAACACCATAAATCTCTACCTGTGAATGTAAGCTAACATGCCCTAGTTATCTGAGCTCCATAGCTAATTGTCATCTCAGAAGCATTCATTTCATGCATCTGTCCTTTTTGCCCAGAGATATCCGTCCATGTCAACCTGACTCTTTCTTGAGGGTCAACGTCAGATAAAAGACTGTTTTTACTTTTAAACATATTTTTTTTCTGGCGTTTATCCACATTCCATAATACTAAATACAGGCACTGTTCCATATTAGCATAATCAGTATAGAACAATATATTTCCCTTAGTATAGAAAAGTAACATATGTTTATTCAAATGAACAAAGCACTGTCTGGAAATAGCAAGTTTAATGAATAACTACTCTAATCAAACAAACAAACAAACACACTAATTTCTGCATTTAGGTATTATGGCAATCAGATTATATACATTAAGGGAAGGAATCAATGACTAAAACATGTTTGGCGTACAGATTAGCACTGTAGGCTAAACATGCTGGCCAGTCATATCAAGCATCCTTATCTTTAATCACATGATAAATCACTTAGTACAGCCATTGAAATCTAATTTCTGAACTAGGATTGAAGTCCACATCTGCATTTGCCAAGCTCGGTTGTGTTTGGTGAAACTACTTGAAAACAGATGCTTCTAATTTGGGAGGCATTGCCCAACGAACTGTAATGGTTGTAGAGCCCCTTTTATAAAGATTGGGTTATTGGTAGCAGCAAAAGATACAATCTCAAGAAGAATAAGTTAGAAACTGTGCCATCTGAAACTTAAAGCAAATTCGAAAAATGTATATATAAATACACATTTCCCAAATTCAGCCAGAGTAACATTTGGATTTTTCCATAGATATAAATAAAACCCAATATTTAGCTAAGGGGGTTAAGTGACACACAAGGAATAATGGGGGTTAGGATACACACAAGGAAGTGACATGGGGCTTAAAAGACACACAGTGGTGTTAGAGGGGTTAAGAGACACAGCTGAAAATTGGTAAATGAGAAACACACATTGGATGATACAAACAAGGGAATAAACTGTGTACAGAGAGACACAATTGGATGGAGTTACACAAAAAAAATTGTACAATTGTGGGGAGAGTCTACCTACAGTGCCAAATAACCTATGTATGTCTCTGCTTATTACGACACTGCATGAGAGATAATACAATAACAGATATAACATGTACAGATATACAGGTGTATCTGCACTGAAAAACATGTTAGTGAGTTCTGGCCTCCCAGCATTAGCAGAAAAATATTGCAACACAAACCGATGCTCTGTAAGTTCCCATAAAGATGTATTGCACCTAATCTGAGGAGTCTGCCTGAGCCAGATATGACGATGCATAGCAACATAATTTCCTTGTATCAGCAGCTCTGTGCCTGAAGGCATCGGTGATAATTCCAGCCTAGTGCTCATTGAGAAACACATGGTGTACATCATTTATTATCATCCTGACATGTTGTTTACACGCAGAATTGTGTGAGCAGAATTACTGGAAGATCCGGCTGTTCCCGATTCTATCTGTTCTATTCTATCCAGCTCATATGGGGGATTCGTTTTCCTAACACGGATTATCCTTGCATCTGTCTTTACTTTATAAATTGCCACTTGTATTTATATACATCATAAATTATAATAATTATCATTTATGTTTTTCACATTGCATGTATTTGGCTTGAAGATATTAAGGAATTTTGCCCCCGCCCTCCTACACACACACACTCACACAGTCCCTGGGTACCAATAGGCATGCACCACCACCACCTCCCCCTGCTGCCGGAAACTCCTGCAACAATCCTCTGGTAAGTGCCACAGAGCTATGCCCAACTGCGCATCACCTCGATTATTGGCTAACAGCCCTCAGCTGAAGCTCTTAACCAATGAGATAGATATACACCTATAGACACACTCACAGATACGTAGCTATAGACACACTCACAGATACATAGCTATAGACACACTCACAGATATACACCAATAACACTCACAGACACTCACCTTTATTCCAGCGTCGTGTGGACATGTCGGCACTTGCCCTGTCCCCGATCCACCTTCTTGGCTGAGATCATAAGAATTGACAATTTCAGATAATCCAATGCTTTCTCGCAGCACTGGGATATAGGTGATTTTTTAAAAATGCTTTTAAGAAGGGTAGGGGGAATAAATAGTGTTTTGAATACTACATGGTCAGGGATACAAGTTTATGTTCTTGACTCTATAGTGTTCCTTTAACCCCTTAGTTACCAGACCGCTTTTCAATTTTATTAATGACACGGAGGCTCCTATTATGCTATCTCTTTCTTACTTTATTCCTCAGCAGCAAAGAGAAATATAAAACTGAAAGAGAAAAAATGTAGATATGCAATAAAATAATAACAGGTACAACCAGATCTGCCTAGTAACAGGGCAGCCAATCAGTCTCTAGGAACAGTCCATAAATCTCTATCCTTGTACTTCCACTTCCTCTTTCTTTGCTGCTGTCCTCAGACCAGCTAAGTATAATTTTCTCTCCTACATTGTTTTGATTAATGGCTTTTGCTAAGGTTTTTATTACCTGTGTTGTCTTATGTTATCTATTGTCTGATTGATTATTGGCTTTTATGTGCCCTTTTTTGATAAGCCTTATGTGTTTTTTATCCTTGGGTGCCTCCTTTGGTTCCCTATTTACCTCCCCTGCGTTTGCCGCCGCTCCCCCTGTCTGTCTGTCCGTTCCCCTTTCAGACAGGGTTCGTGGCTAGCAGGGGAGGTTTCTCTCTGGAGCCCTGTGCTCCCCGGCCTCCCTTCCCCGCCCGACCCGATCACCCGCTGGTGCGAGGGAGTGCCGCGTGTGTGGTCGCGCTCCCCGTTTCACTAGCGGGGGAGGAGCCTGGAAACGGCCGCAGCGCGCTCTGCACGCGGCGGCCATCTTCCCTTCGTTTCTCCACGCGGCTGGGTCGGCTCCCTTCTCCCTCCCATACTGTATGCAAGTATTATATGCTTAGTTTGCTGGTGGGTTACTCAACCCCTCTTTTCTCCTGTATAGGTCATTTGTTAGTTCATTTAAACCTTTACAGATTTTGCTCTGCTCCTGTATCAGATTTAAAGGGACAGTACTTGTTGCCTTTATTTGTTTTTTTTTGATAATTATGCAGGCTAGGGGTGAGGATTCGGGTAGTCCCAGTTACCCCATTATGGATCCCTCTCAGACCCCCATTACAGGGGATATAGGCCTTACTCCCTCACTGGAGTTCCAGGCCCTTTTTGATTCCACCATGCAGAAGGCCCTGGCTTCGGCCATGGGGACCGTGTCCTCGTCCCTCTCTCACACTATTCAACAGGCGCTGTCGCAGCCTTTGGGCCCTGCCGTGTTGCCTGCTCCCCTGCCTGCGCTGCAGCCTCATACGGGTCGCAAGGCACAAACAAAATTTAAACATGTCTCTCCAGAGATGACGCAGGTGACACCTGCCTTGACTGACGTGCCTATGGCCGTCCCAGATGGCGCGTTTCCGCGCAAGAGAGCCGCTGGCCGGGCAAAATCGGCCAGAAAATGGAAACGGGCACGTGCCCGAGATGATGATGGATCGGATACCGATCAAACTGGAGAGTCAGACTCGGATCCCCCTGATTACGCCTCCTATGAGGAAGGGGTTTCCGGCGATGAGGCGGAGTTTGACGCTTCGGCGCTTCCGCCGGGTGAGGGGCAGGACATCTGTGATCCTCAGGGTTACCCCCTGTTCGATCCCGATGACCTTCGCCATCCCCGCTCGGCGGAATGGGACCCGCCCGCGCATATTGCCAATTATCTGGCGCTTCGTATGCGTACCCCCCTTTCCAAGGAGGGGCGCAGTAAACTGAGGGCCGAGTGCCCAAGGCCTTCGGTGCCTGATTCGGCGTGCAAGACGCCAGAGGTTGACCCCCAGATTTCTCAGTTCTTAACTAAGACGGGTTGGAAGCCCCGAAAAGGACTGGAATTTTCGCTGCATAATTGCCAAGACAAGATCTTGGATACCCTGGGCCCCGCCGCCAAGCTTTACGAGCTTCTGGAAGCGGCTAAGGCTGGAACGAAGCCTATTGATTTTGATGAAGCGATTGGGTGGGTCCAGAGGTTGATTTGCCTTCTCGGCAACGCGAACACAGCCATGTCGGCTGAACGCCGCAAGGCGATTCTGCTCAAAATTGAGCCCAAGTTAGTTAACCTGGCAGTGAAGGAGCCTGGTGCTTCGGCCAAGGGTATGCTCTTCGGAGAATGTTTTGTTAAGGACTTAGGCTCCTTTGTCCGTACCTTTACCGCGCTAGATAAGGCGCAGTCTAACCTGAAGAGGGTGTTCGGCCCTAAGGTTTCCCATGGGGCCGGGAGGTATAGGAGCCGTCCGAGGACTCACAGAGGTTCCTTTTCCGCCCCCCGGACCTACCAAGACTATAAGCCAACGCCCTTTTTTCCCTCACGGGGGAGACCATGGCAGAGTCGGGGAGGTCGTGGACAACCCTCATACAGACGCCCATACGGTGAGTACACCAACACGTGTATCTTGCAGAACGAGTGTGGGGGGCAGATTGGCACTGTTTCTCGATGTGTGGGGTATGATCACCACGGATGTTTGGGTTCTCAGTGCGGTCAGGGGTTTCCGCCTGGATTTATTGTCTCCCCCTGTCCAGACGTTTCTCCCACAGGAACTGAAATTACCAGCAGAGCAGGCCGGATTAATTACCGCAGAGATCGCGGAACTGTCTGCCAAACGGGCTATTCAAGAAATCCCCTACGGACACCCGGGATTTCTAAGCAACCTGTTTCTTGTCGCCAAGAAAGGCGGAGGCGTACGTCCAGTGATAAACCTCAAACACCTCAATTCTTTCCTACGTTACCATCACTTCAAGATGGAGGGCGCTCATTGTCTCAGGGACCTGCTCCGTCAGGGAGACTGGATGGTCAAACTAGACCTCAAAGATGCCTACTTGACTATACCCATGGCAGAAGAGCATTGGGACTTATTGCATTTTACGTGGCAAGGTCGTCGATGGCGTTTTACATGTCTGCCGTTCGGTCTATCTTCAGCTCCGTGGTGCTTCACGAAAGTGATGAAGCCCGTGGTGGCCTTCCTCAGGGCGCGAGGGGTCCGCATGATTATCTACCTGGACGACATACTGATTATGTCTTCATCCCCCGAGCAACTTCTCAGGCACCTAAGATGGACGGTGAGTCTCCTGGAGAGACTAGGTTTCCTCGTCAACTGGGAAAAATCCATTGTGACCCCGGTACAAAGGATAGAGTTCATGGGCTTCGAGGTCGATTCAGTCACCCAGTTTCTGTTCCTCCCGGAGGCAAAACTCTGATCGATGAAAAAGGAGATACGACGGGCGCTGCGAGCCACCTCTCTCTCCGTCCGGCAATTGGCGAGGGTGATCGGCCTGTTGGCCTCATCGATTCAGGCAATTTTTCCGGGCCCACTGCATTATCGAGCACTCCAACGTTTGAAAGGGTCCCATCTTCGCTCAGGGGGCTCGTACGAGAGCGTGTTGACCCTGGACGGGGACTACAGAGACGAACTAAGGTGGTGGCTGGACCACATGGAGGCCTGGAACGGCCGGGCGATCTTCGGCTCCGCGCCGGATGTGATAATAGAGTCGGATGCAAGCCTGCATGGCTGGGGCGCTCGCTGTGGCGGTGTCTCCACCGGTGGAAGATGGTCAGAGATCGAATCGGCTCTGCACATAAACTGCCTGGAACTTCTGGCGGGTTCGTTTGCCATTCGAAGTCTATCTCCGACGCAGGGAAATTGCTGCGTCCTCCTACGTATGGACAATGTGTCCGCTGTCAGGTACATAAACCACCTCGGGGGGACAAAATCGAAGCAGTTGGCGAACTTGGCAAAGGATTTCTGGCAGTATTGCCTACACAATGCCGTATCGGTTACGGCCGAGCACATTCCGGGTCTGGACAACGAGTGGGCGGATTGGAACTCGCGCTACCTGAAGGATTCAGGAGACTGGCACTTGCTGTCCTCAACATTTCAAAGGATAGAACGGTTGTGGGGTCCACTTCACCTGGATTTGTTCGCGTCCAGATTGAACACCCAACTACCCCAGTACTTCAGTTGGAGACCGGACCCAGCGGCCACGGCAGTGGACGCGTTCTTGCAGACGTGGCCGCCGGGACGCCATTATGCGTTCCCACCGTTCAACCTGATATCCCGGACACTGGCGTACTCGGCCGGACAGAATTGCACGATAGTGATGGTAGCTCCGCTCTGGCACTCTCAACCGTGGTTTCCCCGCCTTCTGGAGATGGCCATAGATTTCCCACGGATAATCGAAATGAGGCCGGATGTGCTTCTGGATCCGGATGGGAAATTGCACGAATTGGTGGATCAGAGCTTACTTCAACTCACGGCTTGGCTAATCTCGGGAGACCCTGGTGTGTCACGGACGTTTCGCAGACAACTGCTCGACTATTGGAGAATGCCTGGGCACCAGGTACCAGAGCGGCTTACAGGACCGCATGGCGCGTGTGGTCTGGCTGGTGCTTGGGAAGATTGCTGGATCCACTTTCTGCCCCTCTAAATGCGCTGCTTGGTTTCCTGACAGAACGTTTCGATTCTGGTTTGGCTTATCGTACCCTTAATGTTTATAGATCAGCCATTTCGGCCGGACATCAAGGGATAGACGGATCTCCGATTGGACAACATCCTATCGTGTGCCGCTTGTTGAAAGGTATCCGTTTTGCTAGACCGCCAAGATCTAGATACTCATCGTTTTGGGACGTTAACGTCGTCCTTGGATTCTTGGACTCCTGGCCCTGTAATGAGGACTTGACACTCAAACAGTTATCATGGAAACTGGTCATGCTTCTGTGTCTACTTTCGTGTAAGAGGGTGTCGGACGTCAGGGCTCTGGACTGGAACGCGGTCTCGTTCACCCCCGGAGGTGTGTCGTTTAATATCTCGAGGAGGACTAAGTCGGCTTCCAAGTCGGTGGACTACCCTAGATGCTCCATCAGACCTGCTTTGTGTCCTGTGGCTTGTCTCCAGGTTTATTTGGATCGTACCCGGCTGCTGAGGTCAACTGACTTGCCTCCACTCTTTATCTCCTTGAAAGCACCGTTTCTACCGGTCTCGTCGCCGACGCTTGCCCGCTGGGTTAAAGACCTCCTCTCGGCTGCGGGTATCGATACTTCGATTTTTTCGGCTCATTCAGTTAGGGGTGCCATGGCATCAAAGGCTTCTACGATAGGATGTCGCCTGGACGATATCTTGAAAGCGGCAGATTGGTCTAAGGAATCTACGTTCCGTGATTTTTATTTCCGCCCGATTGAACATGTTTCTTCATTGGTTGTGGCTCAGCTTTAAACTAGCATAATAGGAGCCTCCGTGTCATTAATAAAATTCCCAGATTTTACTATTAACATGACGTAAAGTCATGATTTTATTAATGACACGGAGGCGAGTATTATTCCCACCCACCCTCCCGTGGGTCTGGGTCTGGTTTTTCGCTTAGGGTTCAATCGGGGGGTTTGTCTTATCTCACGGTAAGTGCACATGTGTTACTTGTATTGAACATATGGTGTTTTAGAGTGTGACATATGTACATGGATTTGAGTATGATGCTCTCTATTTGCAGGTCACGTATATTCGATATGTTGCACTCAGTTCCTAAGTTTGGAGTTTACCACATATTTCTTTGTTTTACAGCTTGATTCCGGTCTGTTGATGTCTACCGGTTTGACGTTTCTTAGTTACTGCTTGGATATTTTGCTTTGGGTCTTCGGTTCAGAAGGCAAAGAAGAGGAAGTGGAAGTACAAGGATAGAGATTTATGGACTGTTCCTAGAGACTGATTGGCTGCCCTGTTACTAGGCAGATCTGGTTGTACCTGTTATTATTTTATTGCATATCTACATTTTTTCTCTTTCAGTTTTATATTTCTCTTTGCTGCTGAGGAATAAAGTAAGAAAGAGATAGCATAATAGGAGCCTCCGTGTCATTAATAAAATCATGACTTTACGTCATGTTAATAGTAAAATCTGGGAATTTTCTTACCGTTTGAGACCAGGGCTGTTTTTACATTTTTGTGGTGTTTGTGTTTAGCTGTAATTTTCCTCTTACTCATTTACTGTACTCACACATATTAAATACCATTTTTCTCGCCATTAAATGGTCTTTCTAAAGCTACCATTATTTTCATCATATCATACAATTTACTATAAAAAAATTTGTAAAATATGATGTGAAAAATATTAAAAAAAAACAAATTTTTTCGAACTTTGACCCCCTAAATCTGTTACGCATCTACAACCGCCAAAAAACACCTGTGCTTAATAGATTCTAGATTTTGTCCTGCGTTTAGAAATACCCAATATTCTTAGCTTTTTTGGGGGAAAGTTATAGGGCTATAAGTACAAGTAGGACATTGCTGTTTCAAAATAGATATTTTAAAAATGTATCAATAGTGACATTGTAACACTGTTATCTCTCAAATCTCTGAATCACACCTCACATGTACATATTTTATAAAGTAGACAACCCAGGGTATTTAATGTGGGGTATGTCCAGTCTTTTTTAGTAGCCACTTAGTCACAAACACTGGTCAAAGTTAGCATTTATATTTGTTTGTGTGTTAAATATGCAAAAAACAATTATGAACGCTAAATTTTGCCATTGTTTGAGACTAAGTGGCTACTAAAAAAGACTGAACATACCCCATTTGCAATACCTTGGGTTGACTTCTTTTGCAAATGGTATGCCATCATGGGGGTAATTCTCATTCCTGGACTACCCTACGCTCTCAAAGGCCACTCATCCAATCTGGCAAATTTCAATGTGAAAAAACAGAAAATCAAGCCTGATATTTGACCCTGTAACTTTCAAACATACTATAAAGCCTGTACATGGGGGGTACTCTTATACTCGGGAGAATTCGCTGAACACAAATATTAGTGTTTAATTTTGTATATGGACATATGTATATTTCGTATTATTTTCATTTTCATACATAATTTATTTCTAAGTGTATTTTGATATTAATATATAGGTATATATATTAATATCAAAATACACTTAGAATAAAATTACATATATATATATTTGTTTTTAAATTATTATTTTTTTAATAATATATATATGCAATATATATATAATTATATTTATGTATATATATATACACGTGAGTAATCTTACTCTAAGTGTACTTTTATATAAATATATGTATACATTAAGGTCACTTATATTTATATTTATTACCTCTTTTAGACTGTAAGCCTATTTGAGCAGGGTCCTCATCAGCCTATTGTTCCTGCAAAATTCCGTAATTGTCTCATTTATTGTTAAATTTGCCCCTTTATAATATTTTAAAGCACTGTGGAATAAGTTGGCACTATGTAAATGTCAATAATAATAATCAAGTGTCAAGCCCCACAATAATTTGGCTACTGAGCAGTAATGCCTTTCTTGCCTTTCTTAACAAGAAGAATGTTCCCAAGATGTTTTGCAGAAGTTTTTTCATGATCTAATTGGAGATTTGATAAACAAACTAATAGCCAGTTCTGTATTTAGCTAGAGGCTAAGAAGGAATTTGCCTTTGGCGGCACTTTCCAGGGGGGCAGCAAAAAACGCCTCAGATTCCATGCTTGTCTCGTGTCCGGGGGGGCTCAAGAGCTGTCCACCATAGGGCCCCCGGAGACAGGAGGTCATGTTTAATGCAGTCATGTTTATTTGCTCTGCTCCCTCGTGCACTCTGCTGCACTGTTGGGAGCTGGAATATAACGTCATTTTGGCCCCGGCATTACAGCTCCCTCACTGCCTCCATTGTGGGCTAGCCTGCTAGCCCAACCACAGCACAGTCAAGCAGTCAGCCCAGTACACCAGCAGCCCAGCCAGAAACCCCACTGGACCCTAAGGAACAAATCCACCCCAGCTCTCCCAAAGGTACGAAGGCAGGGTGGACTTAAAGTAAATAAAAAAATACATAATTTATGAGAAAATGTGTGGGAGTTTGTCAGTATTAGTGTGTGTCTGTCTCTGTGTGTGTCTGTCAGTGAATATGTGTGTCTGTCAATGAATGTGTGTATGTGTCTGTCAGTGAGTGTATCTGTATGTCAGTGAATGTGTGTGTGTGTGTGTGTCTGTCAATGAATGTGTCTGTCAGTGAGTGTTTGTCTGTCAATGTGTGTGTCTGTAAGTGAGTGTGTGTCAGTGAATGTGTACTCCAGTGCATGTATCAGTGAGAGCATG